AGGGAGAGAGAGAGAGAGAGAGTATAGGTGGGAATAAGGTGGCCTGAATAGGGTAATATAACACTGATGTAAATTTATGGAAAGAAGTCAACATTTTAAGGGATAACCACTCGTTCTACATATTCAAGGCTTGCAGTATTTTTGACTGGCAGAAAATCGATGCCAACTTGTTCTGTATATTGTGCCTATTAATGTTGTCAGTTGACGGGCAAAACACAAGGCAAAAAGGGTTCCTCGGCGAAGAACGTTCATTTTGGCAAGACTGTCGTTGCAATTTGATTTCAGAGCAGCAAAACTGAAATTATTCTGAATAAGGCAATCTTTATGATATTGATACGAGTACATAATATTTCACATTGGCATATTCCAAGCATTATTTCATACTTTTGGTATTTAAACCTGCAGAAACAAGCCCCAAGATGAGTTCTTAATTTTATGCGTGGTACCCTAAAATCAGCCTAGGGCCTTCTAGTAACCATTTTCCGTCAGAATCTTTTGTATTTTTACTCCATGAGGGTCAATATAAATTGTGATAGTGTAGTTTCAACTCAGTATGTAGATAAGTGACTAGAATATTGACTTTGAAAAATCGGGTTTCCAAGCCCTAAAAACTGCACTGGATGCCTTTAATATGGTTCGTATGCTGTCTTCAAATGAAAGATCTTAATTGCAACATTATCACCGTAGGCCTCTGCAATAATAAAGTCTGATACAAAATAAAAGATATCATTGCATTCTACCTCAACCAGACTATTGGGAAATCAAAAGAAAGTAAGTTAGTATCCGACTCAAAATGTAGAAGACAAAAGTTGTCTGTAATCTAGAAATTCAATCTAAGGTTTGGAGTTCGCTGCAACCGAGATAGGTTGGAACCACACCGCATTTTAGATGAGATTTAGATACGGATCCTTCTCCCAAAGATAATATATAAATTATCATGAAAGTTCATCTGTGTTGGTATTAATAATAGTAAAACGTTGAACTTTATTCCAACACACAATTATACAATTGTAAACCGTAACTCTCGCGAGATCACGTTGTGAAGTGATTGGTCATTAATTATCCTGATAGAGGCGAGAGTGGTCGCTGAAAATTTCAGTGATGTCTGTATAACTGTATGTTGGAATAAAGTTCAACGTTTTACTATACCTATATTCCTAGCCACATGTTCAGTCAAGGTGGCGTTTAGAACTAATCGAATAAACTCCAAATTCAAATTAAGCGCACACATTACAAACCCTGACGGTGACCGGGAAACACCCAGTTTCAGTTTAATGAAATACCCTTTACTTTTACCAAATGTACCATCCTGTTTGTGAACTGTTTGACATGATCCGGGCGGACCACAAGGTCCAAAACTCTGCCCGATGTTTTATGCAGGGAGATTCGGAGATCGATCTTCTGCATCGACCTGTCTTATCATGTCCGTGCCTGGTGGAGAGTTGGGCCTAGGGAAAACATGTTGTGTTTCCTGTTTCAGTCGTAAAAAAATAGGGTCGGTAGATTATCTTTTCGTTTTTTATTTGACGTTGGCGATCTCTAGTGATCCAACTTGTACAGTTGCGTAAAACTTGCATGAGGACACTTATATTTTGGCCTACAGGTTGTGTTTCCTGTTTCAGTCAGTCGGTAGATGTGGATTACCTTTTTTTCTCAGGTGTCTGATACACCTTAGTGAGGAGGGTTGACACGGTGGCCTTTGCGCAAGTCTCGCACACGGCAAATGTATGTCCTGGCAATCATGTAAGCATATTTCTGCTATAAAGCGGTGCATCATGCCCATTTTACGTACATCAGACAAGCGTAGATGTATGTAGTACAACATCGAAACTTGCTGGAGTTAAGTTTGAAAATTGCCTTCAGCACCAGATATATTAACTCCAAGTAACGGTTCGGTGGACTTAATTTTGGAGCAGATTTTGTCTTGTCCATTCCGATGTGGTGTATCCGTAGTATCGCGAAATTGGACCTGGGAGGCTAAAACGTGCTCTGATTGATTCAGTGTGGAGGCTTTTAGGCTAATAGCCAGCCTGGGCGGCCAGGTCTAATCCTACCTTCTGTATCGGTATAGCCGGTATAACCGCCC